GCGCTTCCCCGCTCAGCAGTCGCCTAAAATCCCTGGAGAGCACACTGGCTCAGTGAAGGCGCGAGCTCAGAGCAGAGCCCTGAGGGCCATGGCTCAGTGTTGTGATTGATGGCTCCAGCAGAACCCCATGGAATGGGGAGACAGCTCCCCCAGAGACGTAAGGAAGGCGCTGAGTAAGGGCTGCTGAGAGGAAGCAGGTGGGTGCTGGCAGCCAGGTGGGGCACAAGGTCCGAGTTAGGAAGGCAGGTCTTGTTCTGGGGCTGAGGAGCCCCAACCTGGGGATAGACCCAGCATCTCCCAGAACTTAGCTGGAGCCCCACTCAGTGCTGGGGACATCTTAGAGGCCACACAGAGGAGGTATTAAGGCTGGAGAGGATATTAATTCAGTCACTTTTTAAACTGGCTCATTCATTCATTCTAAGAAATGTGTGCTGGGTCACATGCAGAGCATTGGGGATAGTCTTAAACAGTCTGGTGGGATAGACACAACAGACATGCAAATGGAGTAATTTCAAATACCGCTCACACTGTGAAGGAAATATCACAGGTGATGGAGAATGACTGGATTCTAGGCAGAGGGCACAGCAAGTGCAAAGGTCCTGGGGTAGGGTGAACAGGCCAAGGAGGCCAGGGTAGCTGGAGAAGGAGCAGTGAGGGGAAGAGGTAGATGAACTTCAGGAGGTGGTTGCTAGAGCTGGGGAGACGGCCGAGACCCAGAGGACGGTCTGCTGTGAGCGCAGTCTGGGTGGAATGGCAGTACACAGATGCCACTGGCAAACTCAGTGCAGTGTGACTGATTCTATCGGTGGGAAGTCCCCTGAACCTGGGGGACGGGGAGGGGATGGCAGCTGGACTGCAGGGTGAGGATTCCCAGTGATCTCTGGGAATGGAATGGGCGCTCCTGTTAAGGTCAGTCTGAGCAGAGGCTCAGAGGTCCTGGGTATGACCTACTTGGGGGCGGTCACTGTCCAGGCATCAGGCTTGTTCTCTGACCCTGCAGAACAGGGCTGGGCCCCATAACATACAATCTGTCACCGTCTCACTCCCCTTTCACACAGTGGCCAAGCCAGAGATTCAAGTTGCTATGAATTCCCTCTCTCCCTCACATCCACATCTCCCCCAGCTCAGAGCCCTCTGGGGCTCCCCGTTGTCCTTAAAGGAAAAGCCAAAGTGGTCACTGTGGCCTATGAGGCCCTGGCCTTGTTGCCTTCTGCCCACACCTGGTTCAACTCACCCCAGGGCCTTTGCACTTGCTGTTGAATCCTCAAGCTTTCACCAGCTGAACTCCTTCAGCTTGCAGCCCAAAAGTTTCTTTGTTCCAGAAGCCTCCTCTGACCAGCTCTTGGTTCAGGCAACAGAACTGAGCCTCCCTTTCATTTGTGTCCTCATCTGTCCCTGTGCCCCTCACCACATTGAAACACTGTCTCCAGAAGGGTGGGGGTTTCTGCCTTGCTCCCCCGAATCTAGTGCCGTGCCAGGCCCAGCAGAGAAGCTGAGGCCTGCAAACATTCTGAACTTGGTTCAGCCGATGGCCAGTGGGCATCAGAGATTTCTAGCAGAGGACACAAGTGGGAGTTTTGGGACCATCCATTCAGGTTGGAGTGTGCTGTGCAGATCTGACCCTGGAGAGGCTGGGGCCTGGAACGGAGAGAGGGGACCGAGACCAGAGTCACTGCGGTGTCCACTTGGAACGGGGCAGAGGGACTCCCGGAGAGTGGAGCAGCCACGCAGAGCTGGGCAACTGAGTCTGACCCCACGACAACTCCACGTGGTCAGCCCTTGGCACTGAAGTGAGATGGGGTCACCCTGATGCGGGGAGGGGTTCGTGGTGGACCTGGGACCTTCCCTGTACCATGTCTGGGGACCCTCCAGGGGCCTCCTGGGGCCTCTTCCAGTCACTTTGACTTTGGGATTTGCAAACCCCCATTTCAGTGGTCCAGGCCCCCAGTCCCTGCCTAGGAAGGGTCGGGGTTCTCGGGGTCAAGGCAGGTAAGGTTCCCTCTTCTTTACTGGGACCCTTGCCCGCCCCTCCCCGCCTGTCCTCTCCTGCCAGCTGGGCCTCAGTTTGCAAACACTGGCAAGGGTCAGGGAGGTCCTCATGGGGCTCCCAGCTCAGAAGAGAAATTTGCTGCAACTGATAAGGGTTTTGGGGCGGGGAGGGGGTTGCGGGTGCTGCCAGGGTTATCTGGAGGGCCACTCTCGGCCAGCCCATTTCCTGTCGCTATCGGCCGGTGGCAGCCTCTGGGACATGCCTTGAGGCCTCAAAAAAACATCCTCCTGGGTCCTGGGATTGAGGGCGCTGGATGGTGGTGAGGCCAGGAGAGAGCTTCCACCGTCGCCCTTGCCAGTGAGCACCGGAGGCAGCCACCAGTCGCTGCAGCAGTCGTCACAGACTTTGACAATGACCACGGGCTTTAGCTTGGCACTGGCCCAGGCAGGCACTGTGCCCAGCATTTCTCAGGGTGGCCTCCGCTATCCATGAGGGGAACACTGTGTCCCCATTGCACAAATGGAGGAATGGCGACCCCAAGGAAGGGAGCCACCATTCCTGAGCCCCTGAGGTGAGGTGGCCCGCAGGGCCCAGAGGGAAAGCTGGGCAAGGAATTGAGGGTGGAGGTGAGAAAGCTACCCTCATTCCTGTGAAACCCACCCGGGTCCACCTGTGGGTGAAGGACCCCGTGTTTCCAGCCAAACAAGACAATCACCACCCCACTTGCTTTAGTCTCTCACCCCTGGAGCTAAACTAAATGTCAGCTCATGAAACTGACACTTATGGAGTGCTTTCTGTGGCTTTATGTCTGTTCTTTCCCTGAATGCTCCCAGCAACTGGTGGGAGGTTGATTGAGTCCAGTTCACGGATGGAAAAACGGAGGCTGGGGAGGCTCAGCCCTTCCCACGTCCAGAGAGCTGGAGTCAGAATGTGGACCTGAGAATCCCGAATCTGGAGGCTGCCTGCTGCCCTTCCCCGGGGCCTCAGCTCAGGGCTCCACCCCCACCAGTGCTCCACCACCTCCCTCACCCCAAAGCCAGCTCGCCTCCGCTGCTGAGTCACACTGTGTTTGTCCCCCAGAGACATAAACACCCAACCGGGAACCCCCTGGGGTTGGGGACCATCCAGATACAGTGAAAATAGCCAGGCAGCTGCTCAGCGTGCTCTGGGCTGGGTGTCTGCACGGGGCATGGCACGGGGTGGGCACCTGGCCTTCCAGATACCTCCCGGGCCTCCTGCGGGGCCTGATAAGTGCCCGGCTCTGCTTATCAGCCCCACGCCTTCGCCTGCTCTACCCCAAACCTGTGTACACACTGGGGTGCACAGCAGCCTGGAGATCAGGGGGGGAACCCCCACAGCCTGCCCCCCAGACAGCTGAACTGGATGCATCAAGACAACTCAGAGCTACTGGGGCCTCCTACTGGCTCCCCTGTTCCCTGGCCCCTGGTGGGGCATTTTTAGAGAAATTAAATATAAAGGTGTTTTTTCCCCCCCCTAAATTATAAAATTAACACTGCTGGGGGGAAATTTTCAAATAAGGGGACTGTGTTAAATCACCTCCATATGCGTATATGACGCGGCAGGAAGGAAATAGAGCAGGCAGGAGCAGTAGTGGGCTACAGGAGTTCAGCTTCTCTCAGCACAGCTCTCTGTGGTTTACAGCTGAGCAATAAAAACTGGGAAATGATGTTTGGTGTGTGTTCCATGTTGCAGTTGTGTGGACACAGCCAAATGCAAGCAAGGTGGGTGTTTTCTTCATCCGGGCCTGGTATACGGTCTCCTGGTGTCTCTGATGGGCCTGAGCCGGGTGGGGCCCAGAGGCTGTTCTTGCTGCCTCCAGTCTCTTGACTGTGGTAACTCACTCCATCCTCTAAAAAGGGAACTCAGAATGTGCTGCTCCGGGCATAGTAGCCTCTGTGGCTCCCCATTGCCCTAGAATTAAATGCCAGGTCCTTGCCACGTCCTCCATGCCGGGGTGAGCTGACCCTGCCACCTCTCTGCTGCCTCTCTGAAGAGCCACGCTTGTCTGAGACACCGGCTAGTGCCCTCTGCTTGCAGTGCCTTCCTGCAGGCATGCAGGCCGTGTGCCCGTCCCTGCTGCCTCCAGGCCGCCTCCCCTCACTCTGCACCCTGCTCGCCTGCCTCCTTCAAAGCACCTATTAGGTTTTGTATTTCTCGATGCATTTTCCTGTCTCCCATCCTGGACTGTGAGCTGGGAGGGGCAGAAGCGTGTCATACCCATCCTTATCCTTGATGGCTCCCAGCCATGGTGCCCAGTGCCGGGCCCAGAGCAGGGGCACTTTAATACTTGCTGAACATATGAATTCCCAAGAGTTCTAATGAAAAGATCTTCCAGGCTGAGAAGTCATCTGAGGCAGCGAGGGCTGCGTCTTCGTGCGAGAATGCACGTGGCGGAAGAGGTGGGTGCCCTGGGCACAGGCTTGGCGCTGACCTGGGAAAGGCCCGCAGGACTCCAGGCCCAGGGGAAGGAGGCCACCTAGACTGATGAGGGGGACAGGGCCTGGGTGACCTCCCTCCCCACCGGAGCCCTCTGGGATCATTAGAGTCACCGTGGGAGTGTGGGATGGGATGCCTCCCGCCTGGCTCCTCCTGGGGGCAGCCTGGCCCTCCTCCAAGGGCCGAGGAATTCAAGTTTGACCATATCCGTCCCTGAGCCGAGTGGCCGCCTGTGGGGCTCTGGGGTAAGTATTGGTTTATTTACTCAGCGTCCCAGCAAAGCACGCTCCCCTGGTGGCTGGTGCACAAAT